GGGGGTCGTTTGTTGACCTGGCTGAATAGGTGAGGTCAGGTCTCAGGTCATTGACCAGCTCCTCCCTTGCAGGATGATTTCTCTCCTTTCTTAGGATCAGTGAGGCCCCACCAGGTGAGATCCTGCATGGAGCTCCAGCCTGAGGGAGACTGACAGTCATGTTTAGCTTCTTCCATTTTCTAATGAAGCTCCAACAGTGGAACTTTTTCCACCAAGCTGATTAGTTTATTTCCCCGTAACCTTTCAGCCTGGTGGAGGTGGACAGTTTAGTCTGTGGTGTCTTCGGACAGCTCTTTGGTCTGCGCCATGTTAGTAGTTTGATTCTAACTGATTGTCTGGGGTGGACGGCTGTCTTTATGCAGCTAAACACCTCAGACAGGAGCAGCTAGTTTAGGGGAATAAATGGACTGTTAAAGGCAGACTAACAGGTCTCTGAGGGTCAGAGTTCTAGCTGATAGACAGATGTTCAAAGACTGATTCACAGCTGGATCATACAAATAAATAGTTAAATCATATATTATGATTTCTGGATTTTTTTTTTTTGTAGTTTGTCTATCAGTGGACATGCAGCTAGGATGATTCCAGATTCCTCTAAGTGGGAGAAGTTGGAAAACAGCAGTGTTCAAATACTTATTTTCCTCACCTTCCATCCATCCATTTTCCGTCGGGAAAAAAAGTCTTGTCCATAGAAGTTGTCCATATATGAGCGGAGGGTTATATGCTGTTCAGTGCAGTGAGGAATGCTCTGATCTTTATATTGGAGAAACCAAACAACCTCTCCACAGACGCATGGCCAAACACAGAAGAGCGCCCTCCTCTGGACAAGACTCTGCAGTACATCTACACCTGATGGACAAAGGACATTTCCCATCCCTGCATCAGAGCGCTACCTGTTGGATCTATGAACGGTTTTCTATGCTTCAACCAAACTAGCAGCATCCCTTTGGGATCCATGGCCTGAGACACACCCACAGCTTTGTCTACATCAGCCACCTGCCTGGCACCGCGCCGCGCCGCGCTGGAACCTGCTGCAGGATATGATGCTAATCTTTTTGACAGAGATGTTTACCTTTATTGTTTAAATTTAGTTATTATACAAATGTTAACAGCTTTGGAAAACATAATGAATGTTTGTTTGACCTCCTGTACTATATTGAAATTAACAAAAGCTCCATGGAGCCACAAGGGGCCCTAAAGAGCCTTAATTAGGGCCCTGGTCTAACTAGTCTGCAGCACTTCACTCTCATTAGGAGTCATTTTTCGTGTCCTGCTCTTATTTTCAGTTCATGTCTTGCCTTGCTGATGATACCATTATTTATTGCTTTGGGTCGTCTCTTCAACAGGCTATTCATTCCCTACAGAAAGCTTTTGTTGCTGCACAGTATTAATTTATTAATCTTAATTTAATAAAGTTAATGTTGTTTTCTAATAATAGGAAGGCGCCTCCAACCCTTCCAGTAGTGTCCACTCTGGAGGGGAATATCATTGAGGTGACTCCCTCACCTTCAGACCTTTTATTCATAAAAGAAATGAAAAGTTAAACTGGGCTCCTTCTTTCGTAATAAGACATGTTTTTCTTTCGGAGTAAAGAAGCATCTTGTCTCTGCCACGTTTTTATCGGTCTTAGATTCTGGTGACCTTTTTTCAGGGGTGGAAAGTAATGAATTACATTTACTCAAGTTACTGCAATTGAGTACTTTTCATGAGTAATTTGTAATTTTCTGAGTAGTTTTTGAAATATGTAATTTTTACTTTTACTCAAGTAAATTTTAAGTAGTTTTACTTCGCTACATTTAAAACCTACGACGGAGTATTAGGGCCACACATGAAGAGAAAAAATATT